CAGCATGTAAATAGCTTCTGTCATGTCTGCTGTGATTGCGCGTTGCACGCTGTGTGAATGAGACATAATCAATTTATAAATTAAAATTTGATATATCTCACTCAACGCGGCAGACATGACAGAAGCTATTTACATGCTGCTCTCTGGATCCAGCTTGCAAGGCAAACTCTCCCATATTCTAGGTACTCGAGATATAAAGATTTTTCCCTACATTTTGTCAAATAATTGTCAACCAGTTCATTTTAGTTTAAGTTAAGTTTAAAATTGAATTATTTATTAATGATTTGTTGCATGTTGGACAAAGTTAGTGTAGTATTAGAGAAACTAATATAAATAGATAAGTATATGGTAAATCTATAATTTGTAATTCTATATTATATAATTAATATGTATTTGGACCTACATATTTTTTGCTCAATCCGGTCATGAATTAAATCAGCTCATATTGTAAAAATTTGGATCATAACAGATTATTCTATGATGTATATTAATTGTTAGTATATAAGGTTCATAATCACAATTTATTTATATATTTTATGTATGGCCATGTGGGCACGTTCGCTTTTATTTTTTAACTGAATTTGACAATGTTAAAATTAAAATTGATTTTTGAAAAATTTTGATTTCCAAGTTTCCACTTTCATATTTTAGTAACATATGTGAGAGTATTTTCCAAAATAAAAATTGTTAAAAATCGCCTGAGATCAGCTCTAAGCCAAGAATTACTTTCTGAATTAATGTTAATGAATGTAGAGAGATTTATTTATTTTGATAAAAATTTGATTATAGACAAAATAGCCAATGTTCGATAATTAAAAAAAAATAACATTGTAATATATAATTTAATATGAATTATTACAATAAAAATTGGTATTTTATTGGTAATTTATTTATTTTAAGTAAAAGTGTATGTGTTGGTGTTTGATTGTGTATATAGGTATACAGGGTGGCACAAAAGTATGGAAACCCCTGAATAACTCCTCAGGAGTGTATTTTCTTGAAAAATTGATAAATATAAAAGTTTAAGGATTTTTCTCTGGCTATTCAATGGTGCCCTTGTATTTGACTTTGACCTTCGAGGTCATTTCAAAGTCAATATTGTTTTTTCAAATGGGAACCCCTATTTTTTATTGCGGATTTCGAGAGCTTGAAATTTTACGTATAAAAATTATATTGACCATGACTTTGACAATGATCTTGCTCTTTCCAAATCCGCAATAAAAAATAGGGGTTCCCATTTAAAAAACTTAACTTGACCTTCAAATGACCTTCAAGGTCAAATTCAAGGTCACCATTAGATAGCCAGGGAAAAATCCTTACACTTTTGTCTGAAACATTTTTTCCCAAAATGCATTCTTCAAATGTTCTGCCGTACCGGGACTTTTGAAAGTCGACCCACATTTGACCTTGAAGGTCATTGTCAAAGTCATGGTCAAGACCATTTTTGGATGTAAAATATCTTGCTCTTTCCAAATCCGCAATAAGAAATAAGAGTTCCCATTTGAAAAATTAAATTTGACCTTGAAATGACCTTGAAAGTCAAGGTCAAGGTCGAATATAAGGGCGCCATTGAATAGCCAGGGGAAAATCCTAAAACTTTTGTATTTATCATTTTTCAAGAAAATGCACTCCTGACGAGTTATTCAGGGGTTTTCATACTTTTTTGCTACCCAGTATACAAGGTGTCCGGATATGATGAGCAAAAAATTCAGGGGATAATTTTAGACCGAAAATAAATGCTACCTCTTTGTATTACATTTTTTCCAAAACTAATTATTAACGGAGTTAAAGGGTGTTAAAGTTAAATTTTATTTGCAGTTTTTTTGCAATACCTTTTGCCACACTCATAATATTTTGACGAAATTTCGTATATGGGGGTTTTTCGGGATGAGGATTATAAATTTGCTGACCGTTTTTTCTCATTTTGTAGAGGGCGCCACATACGAGCCTTTATTTTGATTTGAATGGTTCCAACTTTTTTGTGCTACACTTTATGCGAAATTTGACTGAATATTTTTGTTGTCCTAACCTTTTGACATAAAAAAGGTGTACTTTATTTGATTCGATAAATCTAACCGTTTTCGAGAAAAACGAGAAAATAACATTGCTTGCATGTGATAAATACGAAATCATTTTAATTTATTTTCTACATTAAACCTAGCATGCTATGGAAACAAGCGCTTAGTTGCCTTGGAAACAAGTTGGTGGAGAATTAGTTTTGACAGATAGTAATTTTGTAGTTCTTTTCTAGTAGTAAGTTCTAAGTTCTTTTGTAGTAATTGTTATCATAAAAATAATAATAAAAATGAACAACAATTACTCTATCGTGGAGTTGCGGGACATGCATTGTTATTACAGTTTAGCTGCTGGCAATACTCTTGCAGCACGAAGTTTGTATCGCGAAGCATTTCCAAATAGACACCTACCCGAAACGCGAATGTTCAGTACTATTCATCGAAGACTGGGAGAATTTGGATCGTTCAAAACTAGAATTTTTGATGTAGGTCGACAACGGAATACTAGAACAGCAGAAGCAGAAGCTCGTATTTTGAATTCGATAGAGAATAATCCCAATGTAAGTAGAAGAAAAATTGCTATTCAGGAGGGCATTCCAAAGAGTACATGAAACAATACGCGATCTAATCTTCATCCGTACCATTACCAAAAGGTGCAAGCCTTATCTGCCGTAGGTCCTGCTGCTCGTGTGAATTTCTGCAATACAATTAGAATACTTCATAATGGTGACCAAAATTTTGTTCGTAATATCCTTTTCACGGACGAAGCTGGATTTGGCCATGATGGCTTAATAAACCTCCACAATGAGCATTTTTGGTCTGATGAGAATCCTAATTTATCAATAGAGCGTGGTTATCAAAATAAGTTTTCCGTCAACGTGTGGGCCGGTATTGTAGGGGACTACTTAATTGGGCCACATTTCTTTCCACAAAGACTCAATGGTGAAGTTTACTTGGATTTTTTAAGAAACCACTTACCTATTCTATTGGAAGATGTACCACTCGGATTAAGAAATGCAATGTGGCTGCTTCAAGATGGCGCGCCACCGCATTTTAGTTTAGCGGCCAGAGAATTCTTAAATGAAACTTTTCCTGAAAGGTGGATAGGACGCGGTGGTTTTGTACAGTGGGCCCCTAGATCCCCTGACTTAAACCCAATCGATTTCTTTTTTTGGGGCTATCTGAAGACGCTTGTATACAGGACACCTGTGAATAGCGTCGATGAACTGAGAGAAAGAATTGTTGCTAATTGTGAGGTAATTAAGCAAAAGGAAGGAATATTCCATAGAGTTCGTCGGAATTTTTTAAGAAGAATTAATTTATGCATTGAAGAGGAAGGACGTCACTTTGAACCTTTGATTTGAATGTTTAATTTGTATTTGTATTGTTCTAGTAACTTATGTATTTTAACCTTATGATTTTGTTAGTAAACCATTCTTTATTTGTTGAGGACGTTATTTTTTTATTATTTATCATTAACCACCATCAGCGTAACAACAAATTTTCACAAAAATTACTATCTGTCAAAACTAATTCTCCACAAACTTGTTTCCAAGGCAACTAAGCGCTTGTTTCCAAAGCATGCTATGTTTAATGTAGAAAATAAATTAAAATGATTTCGTATTCATCACATGCAAGCAATGTTATTTTAGCGTTTTTCTCGAAAACGGTTAGATTTATCGAAACAAATAAAGTATACCTTTTTTATGTCAAAAGGTTAGGAGAACAAAAATATTCAGTCAAAAGTCGCATAAAGTGTAGCACAAAAAAGTTGGAACCATTCAAATCAAAATAAAGGCTCGTATGTGGCGCCCTCTACAAAATGCGAAAAAACGGTGGGCAAATTTATAATCCTCATCCCGAAAAACCCCCATATACGAAATTTCGTCAAAATGTTATGAGTGTGGCAAAAGGTATTGCAAAAAAACTGCAAATAAAATTTAATTTTAACACCCTGTAACTCCGTTAATAATCAGTTTTGGAAAAAATGTAATAGAAAGAGGTAGCATTTATTTTCGGTCTAGAATTATCACCTGAATTTTTTGCTCATCATTTCCAGACACCCTGTATAATACAAAATGTAGTTTTTAAAAAAATATAGGTATCTAGTTGTAGTATTTGCAAGCTTTTTTCGGGTAAAGAATTATTATATGCACCCTAATAACAGACAAAACCAAATAGGCCCCTATTTCGATTTTTCCCGACGGTCCGTGAAAGAGCCAGACCGGGCCTGGTGACAGATTGATTGGACTATAGGTAAAAGCTACATGAACCATTAGAATGTGTCATGTTTACCATCGCTTTTACAATGATTTAGTTCATGAAGGTACATCTAAAGTAATAAGAAGTCAAAGGGCAATAAAATTGAAAGTACAGGGAACTCATGTGGAAGATTATAGATATCCATATATTTAAAAGATAATGCAATACTTTTTGTAATAAAATATTTGTAGGTACTGTATTTTTTCCTTATCAATATCAACTGACAAAATAGTACAAGTCAGAAAATATCAGTAAAAAAACATGGTATAGAAATTAATAGCTGAAAACTGAAAATCATAACTTTATGAATTTGCAGGCTTTCGTGTTTTAATATTGAGATTTTATCACTTGTACCATTTTTGCACTGTGCCCCCCAATAAATAATGTCATTTAAAGACGTTTGATAAACAAATAAAATATCCAAAGCCAGTACAAATATTCAAATATCTTTATAATTTAAGTATGGATATCAAAAGAAATATTAGAATACTCAATACAGACTTAAAATTACTAACTATAAATAATACTAACAAATTGTGATGAATTTATAAGTTCAGCATATATTTTTAAGTTTTGTTAGTAGCAAAATCCAAAATAGTTTTCAACAGTGAGACGCTTTGAATTCTGATATAATGATTAAATAAGGTTCATAATTAATTGTTTCGAATCAAATGCAATTGCGTCTAGCTGTTGGAAACTAATTCTAATGTACTAGAAACAAAACTAATACAACTCCTTTCATCAAACAAATACAAAAAATGTATAATGTTTTCACTCTAATATAAGTAACTATTATACCTATAGGCTATGTTACACTGCTGGAAAGGCAATAAAAAAAAAGAAGTGAAATATACAGAGTATTTGTTTTATTACAAATTTAAAAATTTGACGGGCAATTCTCTGAAAATATAAAACTGAGAAGAACAGTAAGCTCTCCACTATCTTCTACGAAAAAAATCACATAAAACTCATTTATAATTTTTTTTATATCTTTTATAACAAATGAGATGCAGCAGCCAATAAAAATCGGTTAAATTCTTCAGCCATAAAATTTGAAGCCTTGAAAAAAGAGCATGGCACACCTATTTTGTTTCCAACACTTTTTAACCTGTATCCTGCAATCTCACATAAAATGGGCCAATGATTTATTTAATTCAAAACATTTTGAAAAAAGGATAATACTTATATTTTGTTTTCTTTATATTTTCTATAAGAAGAGATATACGATACATAGAGGAAGGAACTTTCAAAGTTAAACATAAAATATTACAGAACAAAATACAAATTAAAAAAAATGTTCTCTCAAAGATATCCCTATTCCTATTACAGTCAATTATTTTTAAAATATCTTTGGGGTCAAATTATTTCTTAATAGTGAGTATTTATATAAACTATATGTTCTTAAGAAAAATCAACAGTAATGGGTATGAGATGAACCAAATGATGTATTTAAAACATATATGCATGTATAAAACACAGTCAAGCTCTTTACATAATAATATTGACATGAGCTAAAACTTTTCACTTTCAGCTTTACTTAAACTTATAGCTAATTCAAAATCGGCTTCCTCTTGCAATTGTCTTTTTTTTCGAGCTTCTTCTAGTTTCAAACTCTCTCGAGCCGCCCAGGCTAACTGTTGGTCCTCACTAAATAGTTCGGAACTAATTGGAGCCGATGCTCTACCACTAACACTAACAAAAGCATCAGAGTTGGGTAACGGTACAGACTGCCTACCATCAAGTCCAAATGGATCAAACTTATCCTGTGTTTCGAAATGAATACTGTTGTTTAAGCTAAAGGCATCAGCAGGTGTTGAATTAATTTTTGTTGCATCCGTTGAAGGTTCATCATCAAATGATATATTAGACAGGTCTTCATAACGGTAATCTCGAAATGGATCGTCAGTAAAATCAAGGCGTTTAGTGGGCTGAGCCTGGACCTTAGCAACTGGCTTATTGGTAAACTGAAGAGGAGAGGTGAGATTATTAAGGCTGAAATAATTATTTAAAAAGGTGTTAGTTCAAGGATCTCTGCACTTCGCCTAGAATCAGTTAGGCTGAAAATTTTCAAAATATATAGATAATACTTGCGACTACATCTGGATCATGCAGGTGCCATCATATTTCCAACATCAAATAAAACTAATATTAAAAAAAAATAATTTAAAGAAAATTTCAAAGATTGTTAGTACTAATACAAAACACTAAATATAAAATAACAAAAAAGAACCTTTTTTCCCTAATTTTTGCTCTCATAAATTTTATTAAATTAATATAATGTTACATTTATTACTTTAACTCATTTCAGCCCGTTTTTGCCTACAATTTTGAGAAATTTCATTAAAACATTGTCTCAGAAAAGTTGGGACACTGCTCGATCACAAACTTCTAGTACCTATTTCTAGTATCTCGTAGTATCTAGTATCTATTTACTTATAAAAGGTGGATAGGAATACTCCATACCCTAAATAATTTAAAAAATTCAAATGTTGTTATTCGATTTTTTTATATTGTAGGTATAGGTAAAAATCATAACAAAAAATTGTAAAGAAAAATAAATCACTGTCTTGAAATACGCTGACATTGACACACTGATGCTTATCAGAACAAACAAATGAATCAAATTTGCTTTTAGACTTTTTTATACAGGGTGTCCTGCATAAGAACAGACACAGGGCAGGTGCATGTATCCAAAATATTGTAATTTAACCAAACTGACCTATATACAAAGTTGCACCCCTGAGGAGTTATTAGCCCCCAAAGTGGGGCCCTAAATTTCGAAAAAAATTAATATCTGCAACACTACCGTAGAAGAACCGAATTTGGCACATGATTTAGGTTTATTACTGGTCTTCTTTGACTATGATTTAAAGTTAATTGAAGCCCTACAAGGTGTTCATTGGGGATGACTCACCGCTAAAATTATACCAAACTTTTTTTCATTAACAGAATTGAAAAATAGTAATATTAATAATTCACAGCAGAATTTAATTAAAATAATCAAAAAGTCAGTAGTAGGCTTTATCTTTCAAATTTGACAATTGGCCAAATAAATTTTACTTCACTTCTCTCCTAATTCTACAAAAGGAAAACAAGTACCTATAACCTTGTTCAACGAGAGAATGGACTTGCTTCGCGCATTGGCGATTAGAGTGGGAGAAGTCTATAGCGAGCTACACAGGACCGTTTTACATTAAATCTTAGCCGTAGGTGCTTCTTCAGTGTAGTAGGTTAATTAGGTGTAATAAATTTATCAGCGTCATGGAAAATAAACTATAAATATGTTTAAAATAAGTCATTTATTATTGAAAAGGTAAAAATATTAATTAAAAAAACATTTTATTATTTAAAACATAAAAAACTAGTCTGTACCGCTTCTATCAGAATCACTTTCACCGTTCACATTAATAATTATGGGTTGTATTTCATCTATTATTCTGTCAACGACGTTGTCAATTTCCCAAAATTTGTGTTCTTCCGATACAGAGTGTCGAATAAAATTGTTCCAATGTTCGGCTGTTACTCGCACAACGCCTTCTTGAAGCAATCTCTTCACCTCTGGTAATTTGAAAGATGTATTGTTTGTTTTTACGTATCCCTTGACCATTGACCAAACCATTTCAATAGGGTTTAGTTCACAATGACACGGTGGAAGTCTGAGGACAGTTTTATTCTGTTCTTTGGCCGTTTCATCAATCACATATTTGTTGTATTTCTCCTTTTCTCCTGCAACAATACGCAACAATTCTGCTTTCACCATTGTTTCGTCGATTTCTTTCCCTTTACTTTGTAGCCACTCAATTATATTATTTTTTCTCCACGAAGTATTGGGTATTTTTTCTATTTTTACCGAATGATACGGAGCATTGTCCACGACAATTACGCAATTATCAAATTATCATCCAACATCGGTAAAACCTTTTGGAACCATTCTAAAAATGTGTCTCCGTTCATTTCGTCATGATAATCTGCTGTATTTTTTTTAGACTGAAAACATAGCAAGCCACCAGGAACGAATCCAGCAGCGCTGCCAATATGCAATACGATTAGGCGTTTGCCTTTACCACTGGAATTAGCAGGTCCCGTTGACAAGCCTCTGAGAAACGCATCCCTGTGCGATTTAATCGTCGTGTCTATCCAAATCTTCTCACGTACATCCCCTGCGTTAACCCAGGTTTCATCCAGGTAATAAATAGAGCGACCTTCTTCGCGGTATCTTTTTATGGCTTGCAGGTAATCTCTGCGCCACATTATAAGGTCCTCTTTCTCAGTAAGGAAACTGTTTCGTTGTCGTTTAACAAAAACAAAATTCAATTCATGCAACAATTTGTGAAATGTTGATCGCTTGAATTGTGGTAAGTCTTCGTCGTCATTTACTGCTTGCATAATTTTGTTCAATGTCGGTAGTTCCTTATTTCGATAGAATTCGTGCACTTTTCTCCTTATAGCATTCTTATCAAATTCATTGATCTTTTCTTTAAAAGAGAGGCGAGCTTTTTTTAAATTTGGTTCTTTTACCTGACCGATTCTATTATACTCCGCTATAATATTTTTCACTGTATTTTTTCCAATGCCCGTTTGTCTCGTTAACTCTAAAATCGTCTATTTGTAAGACATTTGTGGACTGTCTTTTTTTAATTTCTTATATAAGTTTACTACAATTACTTTTTGATTTTGATGCACCACCTGAAATTATAAATAAAATTTAAATTATTAACTGGTAAATATAATATACGTTTTAAAGCACATATAATAAGTATTTATTTATTTACCTGGCCTCTTTTATTCTTCTTAATTGGCGATAATCGGGGTATTTCCTCTCTCGCAGCAGCCATTATGTTATTAAGTTTTCACAATTGTCTTCAATCACTATTATATATTCGCTTATTCGCATTCCACAAGATTTGTAATTTATTTCGTAACTAAATAAAATCACCGTCACTTGTTACACTTCAATACAAACTGGGATCAGGTATCAGGTATCAGGTGCCAGGTAGGGATCGGGTCAAGCAAGGCACCGGCCCTGGTAACTACTGAGCCAATTGCGCCTTGGCAGGGATTGAATAGGCGGAGTCTGACCCAAAACAAACGAGTTTTCGTTCCAGCGCAAGTCCATTCTCTCGTTGGACAAGGTAGTATAGGTAGTTTTTATATAAGCAAAAATTGTATTAAGTAAAAAACACAATAATAAAAATAGTTTTCAAGTTCCTAGCTCGGCCGCTAGGCGGCGCAACCTAGATATCAAAACAGAGTTGAATTTTTCTCAGAAATGTTTCCTATTCAGGTATATTAAATGTTAAATATGGATGGCCGGATTCATTGCTTATAACTTTTGTTATCAACATTTTGTACTATCTGTCGACAGAAAGGGTGGTAAATGCGTAATGTTATTTACCTCAATATGGAAACCCGCAGATGGCCGTTATTTCAAAAGAATGCCGTTTTATGGATTAAAAAGAATTTAAATGCAATGCTATAGTTTTCTTTACATAAATGAATTCAGCACAAAAAATTGATGAATAGTATAACTTTGAAATTTCTAAGGAAACTGTTGTTTATTTATTAGCGCTATTTATCCAAGTTTAGGTTGTTTCACGTTTTCTTAAAAAAAGTGAAATAGCAACATAAAACTTTTTATACGTTAGTTTGAAATTTAAATATGCAACCAAATTTTTTGGGCTACAAAGACAAGGGGGCCCACGAAAAATTGTCTTAAGGGGATTCCCTGTCAAAAAGCGTAGCAATATCTGATTCCACATGTTATAAAACCCCTGTGTACCAAATTTAGTGATTCTTGTATAACAGGGTTCTTAGGGACTGATTTCAGTGGGCTGTAACTCCGAAAGAGAGGGCCACTTAAAGCAAATTTAGGGGACCCCTATTTCGAAGTTACAGCCCTCTGAAATCCGCCCCTAAGAATAGTCTTTATTTTATATCTCAGAACCCTAAGAGAATCACTATTTGGTACACAGGAGTTTTATGACATGTGGAATCTGATAGTGCTACGCTTTTTGGCGGGGAACCCTCTTAAGACCTTTTCGTGAGCCCCCTTGTTTTTGGAGCCAAAAAAATTTGGTCGCATATTTAAATTTTTTAAAATTATTAGTCCGCTAGAAAGCCTTTAAATTTAGGAACTTCTTTGTCTCTTGGTACTTTTTTCGTAAAACAAAAATGGCGAATCACGATATGCATTCAATCACATTTTGCCATTTTTTTCAAAAACATTGTTTTACGAAAACAAAATCAAGAGACAAAAAAGTTCCTAAATTCAATGGCTTTCTAGGGGACTAATAATTTTTAAGAAATTCAAATATGCTAGCAAATTTTTTTGGTTCCAAAGACAAGGGGTCCCAGGAAAATGTGGTTTAACAGGGTTCCCCGCCAAAAAGCGTAGCACTATCTGATTCCACAGTGGTAAAACCCCTGTGTATCAAATTTAATGATTCTCGTACAACAGTCTTCTAAGGTATAAAAAAGACTATTTTTAGGGGCGGATTTCAAGGGGCTGTAACTCCAAAAGAGGAGGCATTTGGTAAAAATAAAAAATACGGGTCCACTAAATTTGTCTTAAGAATCTATGACCAAGTTTTGTTGTATTAATTTCGGGACACCCTGCATAACGATTAAGAGAAATTCACATACCTAACTGATAAAATTTGCAGATGAGTTTTTCTACTTTACTTGTAGTCAATGTGGTTACTCCATTTTAAGCTCTTATCCAATTACATCCAAAATTTGATTTTATTTGTGTCTTTAACAGCATAGCAGTATGAGCAGTGACTTTTATGCTAGTGAAATGAGCTACAGTTAAAGAGAGAGTCAGGTAATGAGTTTCATTAGTGTTTCATAACTGAAACAAACCATATACAAATTGTTGTTGATACAAAGATTTTATATAAAAGAACCTGCCTGTATAGTAAAATTTTAAATATATGACAAATTAGTGGTAGAAATCATTTATGAATTTTTGCGTTACTTAAAAACTGGTCTGACGTCATAAGAGGCA